GCAACAAAAGAAAAAAATAGAGAAACTGGACTTCATGAAAATTTTAAAATGTTGTGCATCAAAAGACACTATCACCAAACTACAAAGGCAACCTACATAATGAGAAAAAATATTTACAAATCATATATCTGATTAGGGATTGATATCCAGAATATATAGAAAATGTCTCTCATTTAAATGTACATAGATTATTATTTTTTCAGATATGTACCATGTTTCAAAATGCACAATACAAAGCCAAAACCATAGAAAATTTTTTATCCAACAAAGCTCTATGAAAAAAAATAACCCAATTCAAAAATGGGCAAAGGACTTGAATAGGCATTTCTCCAAAGAAGATATGCAAATAACCAATAAGCACATGAGAAGATACTCAAAATCACTAATCACTAGAGAAATGCAAATCAAAACTATAATGAAATACAATCTCATTAGGGTTGCTACTATCAAAAACACAGAGAATAAGTGCTGGTGAGAATGTGAACTAGTTGGAACCTTTGTTCAGTGTTGGTAGGAATGTAATACAGAACAGCTGCTGTGGAAAACAGTATGATGATTCCTCCAAAAAACTGAAAATAGAATTATCATATTATTAGCAATTCTACTTCTAGGTACACATACAAAAGAATAGAAAGCAGGTTCTCAAAGAGATCCTTGGATACTCACGTTTATAGCAGCATTAGTCACAACAGCTAAAATGTGGGAGCAACGCCCCTGTCCATAAATGAATGAATGGATAAGCAAAATGTGGTATATGCATACAATAGAATTTGAGTCAGTCTCAAAAAGGAGGGAAATTCTGACATGTGCCACAACATGGATGACCCTTGAAGACATTATGCAAAGTGAAATAAGCCAGTCACAAAAAGGCAAATCCTGTACAATTCACTTATATGAAGTACCTGGAATCATGAAATTCACAGAGACAGAATGGTGGCTGCCAGGGCCTGGGAAAAGGAGAGAAGGGAGAGTTATTGTTTACTGGATATAGAGTTTCTGCTTTACAAGATTATAAGAGTTTCAGAGACAGAGATGGTGGTTGTTGTGCAACGTTATAAATGTATTTAATACTACTGAACTGTACGTATAAAAAATGCTTACAATTCTTGTTATCTGTTTTTACCACCATAAAAACTGGGAAAAATATAAATAAAAATTTTTAATATACCATAAAGAGAGTGAAAAGGAAAGCGCAGAGCTGAGAGAAGATACTTGTAATACATATACCTGACATAAAACTGATATCCACCGTATTTATACAAATCAACTTATAAAATAGAAAATTTAGAAAATTATTTGAGCAGGCACTTACCAAGGAGCCAGTACCTAATTAAATGATACAAAATGATGCTCAATTTTATATGTCATCCAGGAAATGCAAATTAAATTTACAATATGATACCCATACTCATCTTCAGAATAGCTTAAATAAAAAAGATAGAAAATGCCAACTATTGACAAGGATGTAAAGAAACTAGAACTCCAATACATCACTAGCGACAGTGTAAATGTTACAACCATTTTGGAAAACAATTTAGTAATAACCACTAAAGCTGAATAAACGTGTTCACAAAAAGATACGTGCAGCAGTATCAATAGTACTGCTATTTGCAATCACTAAAAACTGGAAACTACCCAAATGCCCGTGAACAGTAGATGGAATAAGTAAATAGTGGTATATTCACATAATAAAATACTATCCAACAATAGGAATAATATGCATGAATCTCAAAAGTGTTAAATGAAAGACATGAAAGAATATATAAGATTATGGTTTGTTCTTATACAATCTTTTAAAATTGGCTAAATTAATCATGAACAGTATATGGAATAAGTAAATAGTGGTATATTCACATAATAAAATACTATCCAACAATAGGAATAATATGCATGAATCTCAAAAGTGTTAAATGAAAGACACGAAAGAATATATAAGATTATGGTTTGTTCTTATACAATCTTTTAAAATTGGCTAAATTAATCTCAGAAGTCAAATAGTGATACCCTGGGGAATAGTTAGTGACTGGATATGGGCACAAGATTGTGGGGAGGTCTGTTAGGATTCTTGTAATGTTGTTTTTCTTGATTTAAATGCTGGTTAGTGGGTGTGCTCACTTTGTGAAATAATTTCAGGCTACACACTTAAGACTTATCTGCATTTACATTACCTCAAACTTCAATAAAGCATTCCATTTCTTGGCTTGAACACTGGTTTCATTGGTATGTTCACATTATGAAAATGTACAAACCTGCACATATATGATTTGTGAATTTTAAAGTATAGATATTAAACTTCAAAAAAATTTACCTAAAATGTAAAATGGAAAAATAAAATTCTTCTATCTAAAATCAGCCATGTCCATTGCCATACATAATTTGAAACTGAATAGCAAGAGGACAGAAGACCCTTCTCCATGTCAGCTGAAGGAGTACTCTTTAGACCTTTTCTTCTGGCAATTCTGACAAACATCTACCTTTGCTGTATTTTATCATTTGCCCTAAAAATGCATATGATTCTGTTAGAATAAGAGAAAGGGCATGAAAAAGATAGGAAAAGGTATTTGCTTTAACTCCCTGGATACTTTTTTTTTTATCAACCTTTCTCTCCTTTCTATTCTTAGTTTCACCCTTCAGCCCACTTGAGAATTTTGCTCAAGCTATTCTTGGTCATTTGTGCATTTTTATTCATTTATTTATTTATTTTGCTTTGATTTTGGATATGTTAATAGTACACAAAATGTTTAATTGGGATGGCCAACAAAGGTAAAATAGGGAATCAAATAAGCAAAACTGACAGTCATTTCATGACCATTTTCTAAAACAAAATTTGTGAGCAAAATTTGCGAAGAGTTTATCAAACTCCTTATGAAAACCTCCACTTAGGTCACTGAATAATTATAAACTATTAGCCTAGAGCCCAGAGGAATCAAGGTTGAATTTAGCTTCCTTTAATCCTCAATTGACTTTTTATTTATTTATTATTTTTTTCCTTTTTGTCTTTTTTCGTGACCGGTAACAGGATCGCAACCCTCGGTGTTGCGCCCGCACCGCGCTCAGCCAGTGAGCGGGAACTGGTCTCCACATGGGATCTGAACCCTCCGCGGGAGCGCCCAAGCGGCGCACTCTCCAGTGTGCCACCAGGCCGGCCCCTCAATTGACTTTTTAGAAAACATTTCTCTCTTAATTTTAAAATCTAGAAATGAAAATAGATCCTTCCAATGTGATGAACAGTTTAAATCACTTCGTACTTTAAAAATTTACTACACTTACTGTGTATATTACTGTGAAACTAAATATCTTTTAAAAAGATGGATGTTTCAAAATAAACAGAGCAAAACAAATTTACTTATTTCTATAATTATTTGTATCTTACAACTCATAAGTTCTATAATTAATTATAATTATAAATGAAAAAAGTTATTATAATAACAAGGATTTTAACACTTTTTTGCTCTAATTATGTCAGCATGTTTAGAACCTTATAAATTAAACTGAAATTTTTGTTTGTGGTATAAACAAAGTGTTTATCATGGAATTTTATGATGAAATTAAAGAAAATTATTTTTAAATTATTGCTGCAAGTATGCCTATTAAGACATTTTTTCTAAGTTCCTAATATTTTAATACTAGTATTTCAACCCAATCCTGGATTAGAGATAATAAGAAACTAGCAAAATTGTATTCTATTATAGCAAATTTAAAGACTCTTTTTATATCAACAATAATACAAAGGTAGCCAGGAATCTCTTTCAAATAGAATTCAATAGTTAGAGATAATAAGAAACTAGCAAAATTGTATTCTATTATAGCAAATTTAAAGTCTCTTTTTATATCAACAATAATACAAAGGTAGCCAGGAATCTCTTTCAAATAGAATTCAATATAGTACAGTTTGGGCTCTTAAGTTCTGCTGTAAGAGGTATAAATTAATGAGGAAAATAAAGCAGATGGAAGAGGCAGGAGTTTTCTTTGTTCACAAACACTTGATCAGCAATTTAAAAGTCCAAAAGACTCCGCAGCAGAGGGTGAGCTGAACGGCCCTTTGACTCGCCAAGAATAAATCAAATTTTTGAAAGTAGATTGAAGTAATTTTGTTTGGGGGGAGGGTTTGCTTTGTCCCCCACGCTGGAAATTATACAGTAAAGCCCAAGAGGAGAAAATGCTGTGAGCTTCCATTTTTTTATTTTATTACCATCATAACGTCATTCCTTCGGTGTACAATTCTCTACAAGTCTAGGAGAGGTGGGTAGGGAAAGGAAAGTCAAGTATCTCAATTGTTAGGCTGATTGCATCCAAACATACTTTAAAAGTCAGTGTTTGTCACACGGCAGGAGAGCTGTTTGCACTGCCCTGGAAGGAAAAAGAAAGCCGGTTCCAACAGCGACTCTGGGGAATGTGCTCTCGGCCCCCCTGCCATGCTTACTTAAGCTAATGGAAGGTCTTGCCTTTCAGCGGCCGCTGCACTGGGATACCGGACAAACAGCTCCCCTCGACCCCTGGCAGGCAGGGCCCCTCTTCAGCACATCATTAAAAGCACATGCACTTGCTTCACATCCATTGGCAGACGGTGGCAAGATCCAGGACTTCTACCCTGAAGCCAAGGAGAAGCCATCGCGGTGGAAAACATCCTCGCTTTGAAAATCCAAGCCTAAATTAAAGAACTACATGAGATTAGGAGCCTGCGGAACATTAGTTGGCTACAGGGGTGAGGAGAGACACAAAAAGCACAGCAGGTAAGAGCTGGGGTAGTTGCCAAGAAGGAACTGTCCCGGGTGGCGCAGTGAAAAGGATCTCAGAACTGGAGGCCTGTCCCTTTGAGTCTTCCATGCGTGCTCAAGCTTGTCTTCTTCCATCAGCTTCGGGAGGAGGGACGTTGTCAGAGCCTTTCCTATCGGTGCAGCTAATCCTGTTATCAGCTTGGTTATAAATGTTAACGTTCCCTGGCTCTTCGGTCATGGTGCCCCGTCAGACTGAAGGCTGTTGAGAAGCCCCATCAGCAGCTTTGCCTCTCCCTGCGAGAAATCGATGAGACGCAGGGCCAAGCCGAAGCGATGGCAGCCTATCCGGAGAGCTGCGTGGACGCCACCGTGCTGGACTTCGTCGCAGACCTGTCTCTGGCCTCCCCGAGACACCCTCTCCTCTGCGACTTGGCACCCGGGGTCCCCTTTGGGAACCGAGCCCTTGCGCTCAGAAAGGGCAGACCCGGGAGGCTGGCGCGGTGTGAGGAGGGGGACCCAGAAGAAGAGGACGGCGAAATAGAGGGAGGGGACGAGGAGGAGGGGGAAGAGGAGCGCGGAAAAGGCGTCTCCCTCCTAGGCCGCCCCAAGAGGAAAAGGGTGATCACCCACGCCCAGCGCCAGGCCGCCAACATCCGCGAGAGGAAGAGGATGTTTAACCTCAACGAGGCCTTCGACCAGCTGCGGAGGAAGGTGCCCACTTTTGCTTACGAGAAGAGGCTGTCCCGGATCGAGACCCTACGCCTGGCCATCGTCTACATCTCCTTCATGACGGAGCTCTTGGAGAGCTGCGAGAAGAAGGAAACCGGCTGAGCCCGGGTGGGATGGGGGTCCCCCTGCTCGCCTTGGCGCTCCAGGGCTGGGGTGTCTCGGGACCGGGCAGTGGGTGCGGCTGAAAGCAAGGAGGGACGCCCCAAGACGAAACTTCTGGCCTTCTGAAGCCTGGGTGGGAGATGATAGAATCCCCACAGCCCCAGGGAAGAGTGGCAGCTGTAGAATTAATATATACGCCATCGCCTTCAATGGAGTCGGGGTCGGGGGCGAGTGGGGCAGGTGAGAACGTGCCGCGGCGAGTCCGGGCAGGGGATTCCGCGGCCCGCGTGGGTGGGAACCTGATCCTGCCCGCAAGCGGCAGACTGCGGACTTCTGTAAAGTCCAATTCTGTCTTCCTTACCTTTTTTTATTTTTATTTTTTTCCAATAAGAATAATAAAGTAGAAATTCTTACTTTTTTTTTTTTTTTTAAGCCTCAAAAAAGAGGTGCCACGCCATCCTCTCCAGGCGCTCCGGAGCCCGCGCGGGAGGGGAGGGCCCGCAGCGTGGACCAGCGAGGCGCGCGGGGGGCGGGCTTTTCTCAGCAGCCAAGGGCTCCCGATCTCCCGCCCGGTCCTTCGAGGCTTGTCGAGAGAACTAGACAGGGAGAGACGGAAGGAAGAAGGGGAGTCGAGGGGACAAAGTGCGATCTCTGAGAAGGAACATCATTCCTGCACTCTCTCTCCCTCCCGTCCCCTCGTCGTCCCTTTCTCTCTCTCTCCTTCTCACTCCCTCCCTCCCTTGTCACCCCCCTCCCCCGGATGATCTGGTTTAGCGAATGAGAAAGTGGGGAGGGCTGCCACCTAGATTCCGGAGGTGGATAGCTTTGTCGCCTGGCAGCGTGTCACGGGGCCACAGTGCTGTTCATTCAGTGCCTTAGTCCGAGTGCAAATCACCGCTTTGCCCCTTAAGCGCAGAATCAACAACCCTGTTCGGGTCCCTCCCGGCCCCGAGCTGGAGTGAAGGGCGGGTGGCACCTCTGCCCAAGAGCTCGGGGCACACCTGGGCCTGCAGGGGGCCTCGGGCGCCTCTGCGCCTTCGCCTCTCTTCAGCGCTTCCAACTGTCACCCGGCGGGAAAGGGTCCGGTATTTCCCGGCGCAGGGCCGCCTAAGCGTGCACTTCTACACTTTTAGCTGTAGGTAGTGGAACACTGCTTTAATTCCAATGGCATCTAGGGACACAAGGGGAGGCGAAAAGTTGAAAGAGAAGATGCGTTCCGACACTCTGCAAAATTCCTGCCATGGAGATGAGGCTGAAGTGGGTCCCTGCCGAGAGGCCACCCCCAGATAGGACCCTTTGCCATTCCACAATTTTCCTTCTGGATGACTTGTTAGCACCTGAACTGGTGTCCTACAGAGAGCAGTGGTAAGTGAGGAGAGAAACCGGAGTGAATAATGCCCCTGCCACTGTAAATTCGGTAATCCTAAAGGATAAATCGTCACTGATTATTCACGCACTTATTTGCCCCTCATTGTGCTCACGCATGTGCAAGCACACGATTCTCCCTGTCGAACTTTTAAAAATAGAATTCATTTTTTTAAGAGGAAATATATACATATCTTGGAAAACAAAAGCTAGGAGGAAAAAAGAAAATTTAAATCACTCCACATTACCATATTGTTAGCATTTTCATCTACTCCCTTCTAGCCTTTTTTTCCCCTATGCAGTTATAAATTCAATTATTTAACAAATCTGAGATACTTTTAGATACTGATGGTTTTTTCACTAGGCATTATAGAATGAGCACTTTTTCACTGACTTTAATGTTATTTAAACATGATTTTTATTACTGTACTTTATTGTCATGTCTGTGTATCACAAGCTAACCCCAATCTGAAACAAGTGAATAGTTAAAATATTTCCTTTGAAAAAAAATAGATAATACTGCAAAGGGCATTCTTATTAATGTCTTCTCTATTTCCTGATACAAGATATCTAGAAGTAAAATTTCTGGATGAAGTGAACATTGAAGTTTGTGGATATAAATGGCCAGATTTCCTTTCTGGTAGGTTCTACCCACATTCCCACCCACTAGCATTGCAGGAATTTGCTTGTCTTCCGATACCTTCATCAATAATACTTAGAACATTTAAAACTTTTCCAAGTTCTCTTTACCATAGACACTGGATTAATTCTGAAATGATCCCGCACCTCCAAGATATTTTCGTGTTTTGACCGTGTCTTTCCACTAGCACTTTTTCCACCTCGACCATAAGATCAAGTAAGGGGATAAAATGTAAACAGCTAAGACCAAATAATATCAAAACCAGGGAGTGTTTTCTACTACTATTGTTATTCTCTAGTATCTTCATGAAAATAAACTGAGATTCAGACAATGAGCTCTACAGCAGTTCTATAAAGTAAAACTGCTTATTTTTATTTTTTTCTTCTTTTTCTAGACAACCTTTTAGTTAACGAGACTAGCATATCTCTATTTTTTTAAGATACGATGTTCAGTTTGATATGTGAAAGGAAAATAGCTAACTATTTCTCAACTCATCATCAAACGGTATTCTGTACTCCAACTCATTATGGGGTGCTAGTGACCCCATTGGTCTCTCATGTTTATCTATCCAGTTACTCATTCATTCAATCAAAAATGTGTTAACTTTTTACAGATAATGTGAATGGGCCTAAAGTTGAGTTTACAAAAGCTCCCTTCTTTCTCCCACATCAAGTCTTCCTGGAAATTAAACATTTTTTTTTTAATCTGTTTAAGTGTTTAATAAGGAAAAGAAAAAATGTGGTTCAAATCCAAAATTCCTTAATATTTTGTTGAAAGTGCAAGTTTTGAGAACCAGAAATAAAACAAAACTCTGTAGACCAGGGACCATCAATATCATTGGGTCCTGAAGAGTGAATATAGCCATAAATCATCCTTAATCCTCTCACTCATATATCTAACCCACTCTGTTACATTCTTAGCAAGCACATAATATTCCTACAGTGAACACCTCTTCACCACACTGAGTCAAACCTAAAGAACTTGTAAATGAAAACTTCTCTCCCCAGTATTACTAGAAGAATTATATCCACCATTCTTAAAATGGTTGCAATTCATAAATGTTTTGTTTTTTGTAAGTTTTCACACATTTAGAAGCTGCCCCCAAATGTAGTCTTTTAAGGCATTTTCATAATCATTGTACTAATAAAATAATGAAAAGCCAAATCAAGATCAAAGACAAAAAGAAATGGATTGACTTATTTCTTACACAAAATCATTTGTAGAGATAAGACAAAATGATGCGTGAGTGACAGAACATAAATCCAGTGCACGCCGTATTTTGAGACACAGATTTTCTAAGTTTTAATTTTAGTTTCCCCCGTGTTAGAGCCATAAAATCAGTGTACTTTTTAATATGAGCATATTTTTAGTATACACACAGTGTTAAATTATTTTATTCTTTATTATCTTATAAGCCAGCATTGATAAAATTATCAGTGGACACTGGCTTTTCAATAACTTTCACTGGTAGGAAAAAAAATCCTAATGGTATCAGTCACTTCTGGAAAATCATGATAATTGGTGCTTGAAATTTTAAAGTTATTTTGACATTTAGATTCTAAATACTATTTTAGACATTGCTTGGAGGTGATTTATTTATATATTCTTTACTGACTGAAAACTGAGTTTTGGTCTCAAACTAAGTTCTCCAGAACTATTGGATTACTGTTAGTATTCAGACATGTAAACCATAAAAAGATCTAAATGGAATCATATTTGAAAGACATAGTTAAGCTTTCTGAGGAAAGTAAAAATAATCAGAAGCCTTTGCCATCAACAGGGAGCTATTCAGGCTGATCATCTATTACAGTTTAGTTGCCCAATGCAAAATCTAATTTGCCAAAATTAGCACTGGAAACCAAACCAAATATTCTGCTAGTATGCATAATTCCTGTATCAACATACAATTAAACCCCTTGGATTGGTGTTTATTATCACATTTCTCATAATTTCCATTATAAAAACACTCTGGTGGAAAGTTTACAACATAGCTATAAAAATTGTGAGATGAAACCTGATAAGCATGATTTTGGACACCCTTTTTCCTAATTACACATCTTTAAAGGAAACTTCAAAGGTAATGAAGGCACAAGTAAACTTTCCAAAATGTACCTGTGACTTCAAAAAAACAAGAGAATCCACTTAATACAAAGTATAAATTAGATTATTATTTTATTTTAATCAAAAAGAGCTAGCAGATTAATAGTGAAGTTCAGTCCCATGCCAACATTATTTATAGAGTAATATTATTGTATTAAATTATATTCTAAATGTTTTTAGAAAAGTGGTGAAGTTTTGCTATATATCTATAAGTTGGCCCAAGTTCACTCAAAGATTCCTGAACTTTGCCAACATTTTGGGTGAAGTGAAGCCCAATTTCTGGTCAGCACCCTCTCTTCCTGTGAATACTGGAGTAAAAAAAAGGTTACAAAACAAGAGTCAGCAATTCTGACCATTTTGTTTTGACTTTGGGGTTTCTTTGAATCTGAAGCTCAAAACCAAACCTGGTGGAGGAGGAGAAGGAAAGAAAAGAAGCAATGCAAACTGACAGGAATAAAACACCAAAAAGATGGAAAAACTTCTTCAAGTTTCCTATAAACCAAAGCCTATATACATTTCCACAACTTTCTCTGTGACACCAAATTTTTAGTTCTTTGCCTGTTACACATTCCTTACAGGAGTATAAGGACATGAAAATTATGAATGTCTTTTAAGACACTCTTTGAGGCTAATATTTGGTAGAATCCCACCCTCAATTTCGTAGAAGGTAATAAACTTTAAACATTCAGTGAAATCAAGAATTTGACTAATACAGCATGATGGAAATAATCATAATAATATGCTTTATGTTTGTTTAGTGCTTTATTGTTTTCAGAGCAGCATTCAGCATTCACATAACATTCCCTCATTTGATCTCTATAACCGGATTTCAACAAGATCTAGAGTCTCGCAATTAAATTCAGTCATCAGTGTAGCATCTTAAAAATTCCTTTGCTCATCGTTGAAATCAGCCTGATACTGAGATTCCTAGAAAAGGACTGAATGTCACATATAAGCACCACATCACTTTGAA